TAAGGCAATCTACCTATATATCCCTTACATAAACTGATACCGATGCTGATAATAAAGTGTAGGGCGCACTTCTGGCCTCCCACAAATCGGTAGGTGTTATGTCCAGTTGCATAAGTTTGGAATTCTCCACGTCCCTACCCCAGCGAAACTCCTGTCCGACGTAGAATATTATTGTTTACCTCTTTCGAAGGCTTTCCCCTTCCCCCCTGGAATGCTGGCCGCCCATGATTGAATACTCCCCCCCCCAAGCTCCCGGTTTCGGTTCCCCATTATCCCATTTTAACATGAAGATCAAATCCCGTGAAGTGACTGTGATGGCGAGCCAGCCGTCCGTTCCCTCCTCCCTCTTCTTGACCCAGCTGCTGCGGCTACGCCGAGAACCACTTGGCCAGCCACCCACCACCGCTGATGCTTTCAGATGGCCTCTGTTCACGAACCCCTCCCCCGTTCGCGCTGGTGTTTCACACCAATCCTGAATTGTCCCGTGAAATCATATAAAAGCGGAGCCACCCCTTCTCCTTCTAACACACACAAGGTTTCGCAAGAGTAGTTTCGTCCTGCATGGCATTATTGTTGAAGTTGCGTTGTTCCCTTGTATAGAGTCCGGCGATTTGGCCGGCTCCCTTCGCTCTTGACTCGATGTATCCATCGTTGGGATTTGTAATTTGATTATCCTTTACCATTTGTTTAATAGTACCGTACCACCTTGATAGTTTTTATCACTGGTTTTGACGTACGCGTGACTGCTGGGTGAAGTCGGAGAAGTCGAGAGACGTAACAGTTGGTTTGAATAAGATCCCCACGTAGTTGCCTGTAACTGAGAGGAAATAAATTTAGTTCAGCCACTCTGATTTGGTAAAGCAGACGACCAAGATTATTTGCCATCTTTGTAGCTATCGCCTGTGTTCAGTCCATTTGCAAACAATCCATCGTTAACCACGGACGCCAGGCCAGGACGGTAAACTCCAAGTGCAACCGAACGGATGTCCCGTAGGTATTTCTTAACTGTTTCTTTTCTATGTGGACAAATCCTCGTCGTGACGCAATAACATACATAGATGCCGCAAGTTTAGCTGCCTTT